CGACCATTGCTGCTATCTTGACATGGTGGTCGAGCATGCCTATCGTGATGAACTAATCAAGCTATACTGGCCGAGACAACCATTCCTCAAGGTCCTACCATGTCAGACATGTCGGTTGAAGAGCGGTAAGACTAAAAGCAGCAAACCCAAGGTCCAAAGGTGAAGTCGTACTGCTGACTATACAGAGGTGTGACGGTAGCAAGGTTTTTCCTTCAAAAAAACCGGCATAACAGCGATGCTGCTTTCCCACAAGGAGAGGTGGGGTTAGAAAAGGTTGACCCTATAAATACACACCTCGCCTTATCCCACAGATATCCATCTCCGGTGGTAAGATCTCAACAAGTACGGAGCTAACACGAAAATTACTCACAATAAGGTCGTGTGTGACCGATCTCAAGCAGTTGTCACTCTCTCAAGTCAACAAGATCACTTCTTATCCAATTCCCTTTTCAAGTACTTCCAGAAGAACCCTTCCACGTTGTGGGCATTCGGGAAATGATAACTCTAACAGAACTCAAGATCACTTATTTATCAACACTACCTTAATCATCAACAAAATAAATAAGTATAAGAAATTTATTCATTCATTCATTTGACTAGACTAATTGTAAACACTTAGAACAATGAAAATACAATCCAATCTAATCACACATACATACATACACACACACCCTGATGTAAGCATAAGATGATACCAACCATTGTGATAATGACTTATATATAAATGAATCAAATGACTATTCCAATGCGTGAGATCATTTCTATGTTTCTAAGATATTTATTGATAGTATTAAACAAATGGTATTAGGTAATTTTGTATGGTTACACATACAGATTAATAGTGTAATATTCTTTGTTAATACTAATACTGTTTTATGCTTTTAATGTGAATATTTGATGATAGTTTTTTTTTTTTTTAAAAACAGCTGAAAGCATATGACTGACAAAACAAGGAAAGCTGATCTCATTATTATTACTATTACTATTATTATCATTACTATTACCATCACTATTATCATTAGTAGTAGTAGTGGTATTAGTATTAGTATCGTTATTACTGAGTGGAATCAAGAAGAGAAAACTTAAAGTATTTAGTTTTATGCATTAATGACATATTTAGGCAATAACAAACTGTTATTTGATATAACTTGTGATAAACACAATATGAGTTGGTGTAATACACTAAACATGAATTGATTCATTGATATTTTAATAATCAGTTAATAGTAAGTGGATAAGTCATAGTACAGAAAAGAAATTAAGAAATAATCAAGATATATTTAATACTTGAAGAATACAATGGAATATGGTCAAGTGCTATGAAGACTTAATGAGTGACAATAAGGGATGTCATTATTATTATTATTTAAGCTTGTTACTCCTTGTGGAGGAGCATAGGCCGCCCATCCAGCATTCTCCATCCAATCCTGTCCTAGGCTGCCATTTCCATATCTTTCAAGTTGTTATTCATTCTTTTCATATCTGCTTCTATTTCTCGACGAAATGTGTTCTTTGGCCTTCCACTTTTCCGTTTCCCTTGAGGATTCCAGGTAAGGGCTTGTCTCGTGATGCAGTTCAATGATTTTCGTAATGTATATCCTATCCATTTCTATCGTCTTTCTCCAATTTCCTGTTCAGCTGGAAGCAGTTATGTTCTCTCCCACAGTAGACTGTTGCTGATGGTATACAGCCAATGGATGTGGAGTATCTCACATAGGCAAATGTTCATAAATACTTGCACATTTTTGATGATGATTGCAGTAGTTCCCCACGTTCAGTTCCGTATAATAGGACTGTCTTGACGTTCGTATTGAAGATTGTGATTTTGATATTGGCTGAAAGTTGTTTTGAATTCTATATGCTCTTCAATTGTTGGAATGAGGCCCTTGATTTGCTAATCCTCACGTTTACCTCTGTATCAGATCCTCCCTGTTCATCGATGATGCCTCCCAGGTATGTGAAGGATTCTACATCTTCCAGAGTTTCGCCATCAAGAGTGATTGCATTGTTGTTCTCCATGTTATATTTGAGGATCTTGGTTTTCCCCTTGTGTACGTTGCGGCCTACTGATGCACAGGTTGTTGCTACACTAGTTGTCTCCATCTGCATTTGTTCGTGTGTATGAGATAGGAAGGCTAGGTCATCTGCGAAGCCACAGGGATGTAGACCGATAAATATCAAGTTAATCCTATCCATTCGTATGTAGATATCGTTATCCACCACTTAATCAAAAGTATTTCAACCTCACAAACAAGTAATGCAGTTTCCTATCACGTAATATATGTTACTATTAATGTTTCTCCACTTCATCCGTGATCACCGTCATCAGTCGACTACCATTAACAGAAACTAGCATTCTTAACAAATGTTAATATAGTTGAATAATTTTAACACTCTATGAAGTTTCAACTCAAATAATCTGTGTCGCAAGTACAAAATAATTCCCGTTAGTAGATTCACTGGTTCTTGTTGGTATACTGTTGTTAATGGATACGTGAGTCATAAACAATATATGCTCTGGAATAAAAGCCGATGTTATATATTATATCAATGATAAGAAGAAGGAAATCACTATGATGAAAATTGAAGAATTCAAAATAATAATAATATCAATAGTAGTGAAAACAGTTCAAAAACTAAATATTTATGTGTAACTAAGATACGAATATACTTTTGCTCTTACATTATTTGACCACAGATGCCGTAGAAATATTGCACACATCTTCCGGGATCATCGGCTAAGAAATAGTGAGGTTAGACGCAAGGTATTAGGGCATGATGGTAAATCAGTTAATGAGGTTGTAAATCTTCATCGACTGAGATGGTTAGGCCGCGTGTTGTGTATACCTGAACACCGATTACCACGACGCGCAATGCTGACTAGTGTTGGGAATAGTTGGAAGAAAGTTATGGGCAGCCAAACTAAAACGTGACATCAGTGTTTCAAGTCATTAACTTTTAGTCTGAGCCATGTTGGTAGATGCAGACTACTTGGCTGGGGTCCTCGTGACTATCTTAACCAATGGTTGGAAACTCTGGGTGATATGGTTCAGAATCAATCACAATGGCGTCGGTGTATACACTGTATATCTTCCCTTAAACTATGAGATTAAAATTGCTTTATATCTTTCTTTCTTTTATATAGTATTACCATTGAATTAACTAATTCTATGAATTTGGTGTTCATCTTTTTGTGTTAATGAGGTGTGGCAACTTGGATCGATGCATATATGTGTCTGGTCCTACGTTGTACCTGACTGACTGATGAAATGACAATTCATCTTTAGTTATTTTAAACAAATTCTTATATAAACTCTGTTATTTTGATTTCAAATATTTCAAAATATGTCCTTAATTTCTAATTAGTAAATTGAAATATAATTTAACAATGTAAATACATTTTTATTAAGAAACATGTCATTTGACCTTAGTGATTTAAAAGGGGATATATGTATATCAGCAAACGCTGAAATAGTCTGTACTTTAAATGATCAATAATGAAGTATATTAAGTTAAATGTTCAATAGATATAAAGAGAGAAAGAAAAAGAAGAAGAAGTATTACATATTCAAAGAAGAGCTCAATATGCTTTAGTGAATGAGATATCATTCAGTGGAACTATACACTCTTACCGGTAATTATTGAACAAAGAAAACAGTAATTTCAATAGTTGAGATCATGAGTCAATTGAAGCTAGGCCACCATGGAAAACCTGGAAGCACTGGACTGCCATTTTGTCCTACTGTGGAACTCCTCAGCAGTGCGTATCCACGATCACATCTCGCAAGACTCGAACCTAGAACCTGTCAGTCTTGCTCACGAGCGCTTAAACACTAAATTACTGAACTGGCATCTAACGGTGTTAATGTTTAACTTCAACGATTGAAATTACTATAATATTCACAAAAATCCCTTCTGATATTAATAAAGGAAATAGTAGTTTATTGAAGGAAAAAACAAAGTGAACTATATGACGAAGTATTTGAGTATCTGATATATCATAGGAAGTTTGAGTGTAATTGATTTAGAGGTTAAATATAACTGATAGAATGAAAATAGTTTATAGGTTAAAAAAGTATGAGAAAACTTCCTATATTAAAGAAGTATAGAGAAAAAATGAAAAGCATGGAGACAATAATAGTTGAGTAATATTCACACACACACACAAAACTATAAAAATGTAATAACAGTTGATTGCTGAGTAAGATAGATTAGAACAGACGTTAGTCCTATGATATAAATGAGGTAATACATGTGACGCTTTTACATACAGTGTTAAGAATTGAACCAATGACTTGTTAAAGCCTTTGAAGTGTACGATAACTTAATATATACTCTTATCGACTCTAATTGTTTGGCTTTGTAGATTATTTCGAAAGACAATTCTAATGAAGTAGGATGACTTGAATTGATGAGGTGTTTCAGAATTAAACTACTTATTGTTTTGCGTTCTTATGTTAACAGTCACTTCAAGTTATAATGTAAGATGAATTTCGGAAGTGTACATCCAATGTAACCTACCGCAAAAGAATAATCGGATTTATAGATCCATATCGATTTGTATCCCTAACACACTTTTGAATGATAGACCGACTAGAGAAGATGATAAGAAAGTTTATAGAATAGAAATGTTTTTCCTTGTATAACATGTAAAAGTCTTAAAAACAAGTTGCCAGTCTATTCAACGATACATTTTCCATCTACAAAAGTAGTTCGAACAAGTGTTCATCTGTTTGAGATAGTGTTCAATTTGAGAATTTCATTGCTTTCAAAATGATTCTTATCATAACAAGATACTGGGTTGCACTGACCGGTGATAATGCATAAAAATGGTTTACTATAAAACTGAAATTAACTGTTTAATGTTGAGTAGTTTCATATTCCAGGATGGAACAGTTGTCGAATGCTTCAATCCATGATGAATAATGCACAGATAAACTTGAGTTACATTACAAACAGTAATAACATAACCATGAATTAAATGTTACATATATACTTACCACTGGATCATATGAATGAAATATATTGAATACTCTTCGACATGCAAAATATGAAAATAATGCTTCAGGATCAATTTCATCTAAATCAATACCTGTATGTTTAGATGTTGATGTTGTTGTTGTTGTTGATGATGTAATACTATTTTGTACTGAATGTGAATTACTTGTTGGATCTCGTTCATCATCCGTAGAATTAGTTAATTGTAATGAATGAGTCGATGGATTTATATATGTTGGTGGACATAAATCATTAACGGATATAAATAAGGCTAATGGTGAACCAATTAAAAATAGATTTGCCAACTAAATCATAACAAGAATAGTAACGAAGAGGAAAACAAAGAAGAAAAAAACAACAGGACAATATAAATCAATGAGAATTCAAATGTTTATTTAATGAGATAATTGTCTATTTATCAATACTGAAATTACTATTTATTGTAAGTGAATCCCTGTAAAATAATACATTAAGTAAAAGTTATTAAGCAAAGATAGATTCTGGCTAGCAATAGAATCTAGCATGCGCTTTTAATCCTATTCGGAACTTGTCAGTTGCATGTACCAGCATTCCTCAGTTGATGTTCACTTTGGGACTTGAATTCGGTACCGTTTGCTTTAAACGTCATCACGTTATCTACTCAGCTACAAAATCCTGATAGCCACTTGCTTGTTCAATGGGGTGAAGTTTGAATTCAATTGGTTTTGTTTTTACTTGTATCTTCCCATTGATGTTTAAGACTGGTATATGTACATCCATCTTTGCATAGAAAGCTTGTGACTTAAAGCAATCCGCAGAGGACACACATAAACCAACAAGAGACTGATCAATTGAAGTCCTAAACAACAATAGGAAGATACAGGCAAACAACACCAAGTGCATTAATAGTTATGTCAGGGTTAGATACAACGTTACATCTTATTTTTTAATTAAAATTTCATCGGTGCATTACAATAAGATTGATTACACATCTACTTCAACTGAACATTTAACTATTGATTAGAACACTAACTTTAAACGAACAGCACATTCATAAGCAGCATATCATGTAGCACAACAATTAATTTGATTATTTAAAGATACTTTGATAATCTCAGATAAAACTTTTGGCTGAAATAATAAAGTTTAGATATAATAATTTTATGGTCAATCAGTTATGGGTTATTAGAATGTTAGTCAAGTTAGTTAAGATGATAGAAAATAGCTTGAATAATCCCATTATATAGTTAGTAGTAAGCAGTAAAATCTAGGACGTGTGTTTCGTCTTACTCAGGCCTCGTCACTTGGATCTATCTGTATACCAGAGTTGATGTTTACGCTAGAGCTCGAGCCCATTACTATTTGCTTTGAACTTCAGAATGTTATTGTTTTAGCTACTTACTCAAGATAACCACTGGTTTGTACAATGGAGTGACGATAAAATTTGAATGAATTAAGATGGTAGGAAAGTTTATGTAAACCAAAAGTCAATAATTTGAAATGACTTTCATTATCCCTTTGTTAGATATTTTAACTGGTATTTGATCAGATTGTTTGGTATATGGACATCCTGTATGGATCGCTTCAATATATGAAACGCCTCAACAGTGTGCTTCCACGATCACACAACCTGAAATCAAATCCAGGACCCTCGGTTCCGCGCGCGAACGCTTAACCTCTAGACCGCTGGGTCGGCATTTAATGGTTTAACGTTGAAATTCAATCAATCCACGAAATCGTACGGCCATCAACAATTTCCACAGCTCCTTAACGACAATTTGCCATATGGTCATTAGTAACTAGCTTAGAGAGATCTCCGGAATTCTAGTGAGAAGCCGCGACCATTGGGGCTGAACCGTGTCGATTGAAAGGCACTTACTCACTGAAAAAAATGGGTTTCAATGAAATTCAACAATCCCCATGGCACCCTACTGACAAATTCAGTTTATCGATCAGATGAAAAATTACGAACAACTGTTAGGTATTTTTTTACAGGTATCATGTTTTATAAGCTATATTAGCTGTTCATAATGTTGTTTTAGAAAGATTATAAGTAATTCATGATTAGAGTTCCTAGCTCATATTAAGGTGTCAAATGTAAACTATTTAGTTGTAATTTGTTTAGTAGTTGAATTCATGAACCAATTGAAGCTAGACCACCATTGAAAACCTGGAAGCACTGGACGACCGTTTCGTCCTATTGTAGAACTTCTCCACGATCTCACGACACCGAAGGTCCTGGGTTCGAACCCCGCGGGCGGGACCGTGGATACGCACTGTCGAGGAGTCCAACAATGGGACGAAACAGCCGTCCAGTGCTTCCAGGTATTCAATGGTGGTCTAACATCAATCAGTTCATGATCTCAGTCAATAACAAGAAATATCATTACGTAATATCATGGTGAGATAGTAGAATACTAAATCATAAAGGCTAATTTATTGATCTATATGTTGAATTGTATACAGTTAAATTGTGTCAATATACATAGACATTGTATGATAGTTTAGTTTACAAGTAAATTATTGTTGTCTGATCTTGTTTTTTTATAATTCTTTACTTAGTATTTATGGTGTTAAAATTTAAACAAATGTGTTTTCATAAATGTAAAAGGTTTGTGAAGATTGTTACATTTGGTATTTCATATTATGTAATAATCTTAATTACACAACTATTAAAAATCAAGGAGAAATGGAAAACTATTTCATTCTAAATTCACTTGGTATTGTTTACTTGAATCTTCTCATTGATGTTTAAGACTGCAATTGATCAGTTTCTTTTTGGCATACGTGCATACGGTGCGCGTTGCCTTGATATTGTCTTAATTCACAAGCATTATAAGCAGAGATGGATAGTGGCTAGCAGTAGAATCAAGGATGCGCGTTTTGTCATATTTTGGAGTCGTCAGCTGGATGTATCTGCATTTTAGAGTTGATGTTCATTCTGGAACTTGAAACAAGTACCGTTCATTGCAAACGCCATCGCGAAATCCACTTGGAGACTGAGTCCTAGCTTCGAATTACAGAGTAAACATCAACTTTGGGATGCAGTTACATCCAGTTGACGAGTCTCAAATAGTGCGAAACGCACGTCCTGGATTCCACTTTCAGCCAATATCTATCTTTGTCTATTACATTCTAGCTTGAAAATCCTGAGCAATGTAAATCCACCATTTAATTGGAGTCATTAAAATGTATCAACAAACTGTAGAGTAGATTAGCACAGATGAAGTTTTCTCCAAATAATCAGTTACTTCAGGAGAATATTTCATCAAGCTAGGATACAAGAAGAAATTAGGAGAAGAAGATGTAAGTCGATAGGACAAACATTCTATATTGTACCAAAAATATAATATTGAATAAAGCCATTAATAATAATAATAATAATAATAATAATAATAATAATAATAATAATAATAATAATAATAATAATAATAATAATCATGGAAATCTCTAAAGTGCATCACGATGTAAGCCCCAACTTTGAATCCTGAAGGGAAAAGTGGAAGAGGAAGGCCAAAAAAACAGATTACACCGAGAATCGGAAGCAGATATGAAAAGAATGAAAAGCTGCTAGGAAGGATTGCATAGGACAGAGATGGATGGAGAATGTCGGTGGGCGGCCTATGCTCATCTATGAGAGGTAACAGACGTAAGTAAGGATATAACATCCACTCACAGTTAGATGATTTAAAAGAGAAAAAGAGTTGTCTGGTTGTATACTTAATAAATTGTAACTTAGTGGATAATATTTATCTGGTTTACCTCAATAACGAAGCCACTATTAATGCTGTTGACAATTAAACTAAAGATAAATAGACAGTGAAATAAATTTACAGAATCTCTATAAAACATTCAAGAGAAATCAATCAAAAATAGCACTTTAAAAAAATATCCTATTTCTAAAATTTTTCCGCTGAGATTCAAGTATTTCAGATGCTTTCAAAAAAACTCCGCCTGGAGCCCTTCTGTGGCTACTGCCAGTCCTAAGCACGGATAGAAGAGGGTTTGGCATGAGGTTAGTGATTTCATCCGGTAGAAAACTAACTCGCTAAAAAACGCTAACCAAAAAAAAAATTAAATAAGATGTTTTCAAAAATATCCATTTATTCTTCAATAGATCATCGTTAGATGAAGCTGAAATTAGCTTTTTGAAGTTCTTTTGCCTTCTCAATTGTTGAAATTTTGATGAGAGTGTAATTGATTATAATGTGAACTATGATTATGATTCTAGTTTATTACCGTGTTGATGTGAATAATAAAACAAATATAAACATATATGGTCTGACAAAAATACATACCTGTTCAGATTGTTATACATTACATTTGTACAGAAACAGAAACAGAAACAAGATAAAAGGTTACCTTGACGAACTAATGATAATGTCAAGTAAATGAATCGAATTTATGAAGTGATACTCAGTTTAATATTTTATTAAAGACAAAGCAAAGAAGAGAGAGATAAGTAATGAGTGACTCTATGCAACTGAGATCGATTTCCCGTTTTTTCTTTATAAATTTTCGGAAGATAACTAAAGTCAAAAACTTATAAAGCTGAAAATGTATTGGTAATGTAGATGAGGTCAATAAAACGTGTTCATTTTCTTTTATTGATAAGTGTTTGTGTTACTACTTAAATAGTTTTTCCAGTAAAAATATATTTAATTAGAATCATGAACCGGTCTAAGTTAGATCATTACTGAAAACCTAGAACGGCCGTTTCGTCCAAGTACTGGGCTCTTGGCATCGCAAATCCACGACTGTGTACCCGAGAATCAGTCTCAGGACCTTTAGTCTTGTACACGAAACTCTAGTATCTAGACTACCAAGTTGACATCCAACAATGTCTCATGCACGATCTAACTTAGATCATTTCAAGATTTCAATGAAATTCAACAATCTCAATAATCCCATACTGCAAGTGATATATTCAATATTGAGACAAAGTAATAATGTTAATAATAAGACTAAAACAAATTCAAGGTTAATTAGATTAGTAGTGTTAACGAAAAAACAATGTAGCAGAGATTCATTTGTTGAACTTTGTGTTATCAATGTTTAAGTGAGAATTATATGTTCGATATGAGTTTCTATCTTGAATAAAAAATAACTTTACTGAATTCTAGATATACCAAACATTGAATATCTAGAATAGTCTATAATCCGTTCATAATCCAGATAAACATATCAACATAGTACAATAAATCATGCTTGATCTAATATTTCTTTCTAGTTGGCAATTGTCAGAATGTCATTCTCTACAATATTAAGGAAACTGATATTTAAAATAGAAAGTGTATTCATGTCACTAACTGCAACAGTTATTGATGTCGACATTAAATAATATGAAATTGAATAATTTAGACAAATGGTAATATTTTCAGTGGTTGAAATCATGAGTCAATTGAAGCTAGAATACCATGGAAAATCTGGAAGCACTGGATGGCCGTTTTGTCTGCTCCCGCGAGATTTGAACTCAGGACCTATCAGTCTCATGCGCAAACGCCTAATCATCTGACTACTGAGATCACTAGCGACTGACTTCAAGAGGCATTTCCTGGAGTTCTGGTGAGAAACAGTGACCAGTGAAGTTCAACCAGGTCTGTTGTAAGATATCGGCTCACTGAAGACAACGGTGTACGGTGGCGCGATTTCGTGGATTGGTTGAAGTTAGACACTAACACCATTGGATGCCGGCTCAGTGGTATAGTGGTTAAGCGCTCGCGCGCGAGACTGATAGATCCTGAGTTCGAATCTTGCGGGAGGCGGGATCGTGTGTGTATATTGATGAGGAGTCCCACACTAGGACGAAACGACCGTCCATTGCTTCCAGGTTTTCCATGGTAGTCTAGCTTCAATTGACTCATGATTTCAACTATTGAAACTACTAAAATCTCCACAAAACCCTTTCTGATAATAATGGCAATATTGTCACTTAATTGATATAAATTGTATTAGAATTAATCACCAAACCATATAATGTTAGTTACTATCAAAATAAGCATATAAAAAAACTCACATCAGTAGATTATTGCCATAATCAGACATTCGGTCATCATTCATACATAAACAGTATATATTTAGGATAACTTGAAAGTGATCAGTTAGAAAATATTGTGAATTACACCGAATACTATTTTTTTATAAGTTAACATGAGGTGAAATTTTCTTATAAGTAATATATATAAAGTATATATTGGTAGTTAACACTAGATTCAATTCTATGTTAAGCAGATAAATTCGTCACACACACACTCACACATATATATATATACACGCTGACGAACATTTCAACAGCTCATGTACACATGTAAATTCGAATCTATGTAAAACACAAGTAATACCTGTGGTACAGATTTCCATTCTTTTGGTTTTGATATATTTTCCAAAAATGATCCCCGCTAATAGACAGTTAAAGATTAGAACTGAGATAAATTTCTAAATATTTTATTCTAAATATTAAATCTATGTGCATAGCAACTTGATTGTAGAAGAATTACTACTTTTTGATTATTAATCATAAAGAAAATTCCCATTGGTCAATATAAAACAAAATATGAAAGTTGTATTATGTTCCGATGCAACGAAAACAAAAGTGAGTTTTGATTATATGGTTCATTATATGGAACATTCAGTGTTTATTATACTAGCGAATACGGAGACTTAAACAATGTATCATGGTTATAGTCAGAGGTCTGGTGATAGTATGTTTTCGAATGTTGGATGAAAATATGATTTTGAAATGTATGATACAATATCAAGAAAGCAGTTTAGTTGGAAACTAGATGCCTGATTTCTTTAATTATTTCCAAATAAGCTCAGCTATCCTATAATTTTTGTGTTCTTGTGAAATCTTATAGCTCACACCACAACGTGATCTTAACTAGACAACAATTAAAGACTAGGAAGTACTAGACAGCTATATCATCTTATTGTGAAGGTCGGCAACAGTACAAGGTTACTGCACCGATGGGGTTCGAACCCAAGTACGTCAGGTTTCACGGTTGACATCTGACTTTTAAATGACTGAGTCCAGTATCCGATGTTTTATATGTCCGACTTCAGTCAATTCGTGATATTAAGCAACTATCTTCCAGTGTGATTGATAGATAACTCCCTCACCCCAGAAATGGTTGAACTTGAATGGTTATGTCTTCTCACTAGAACTCTGAAAATCACCTCTCAAAATTGGTTACTAATAAATAAATGATTATCATTAGCATAGTGGGTTTTTAGAAATTAATAACGTCGATAATCAATTTACAATAAATCCAACGATTTTTTGTAATGACCGGGTTCTAACAATAATAGCTAATAACAATTCATAACGGTAACTGAAATAAAAGATAGAAATAAACACATGCAATCTTCTCGGTTTCATGTGATAATCAGTCATCACTAGAAACAATTAAGTATACTGTTAAACAGCACGAATCTAATTTAAATCCTACACATACTAACCTTTAAACAATATTACTCAAATTATATTGGTCAGTTCTATGAACTGATTTTAATAGAATACATACTTCTTAAATGGTCAGTCGAAAATTTACAAGCGTCCAAGGATCAAGGTTTCATTCTTGTCGGTATTAGCCAACAAAAATTTTCACTAATCACGATAGGTTCAATGCTTCACAGGGAGCTCAAGTGCAGAAGCTTCATGTTTGATGTATGAAGGTAGATACTCACATCATAAATGATATACATATATATATATATATATATATATATATATATATATATATATATATATATATATACATATATATAATTTGGTTAAGCCCTTTTATTAACTTATTTAACAGACAGAGTCATTCATACAACAACAAAATCTTATCTATACCAATGTAATTTCATTGTTACGCTTGTATAAACATGTATGCTTGAGCATTGCTTACCATATACTCAAATACTCATTCTGCTAGCTTTAGTGTTAGTTGCTTAAATGATTCGATGATGTATTCACTTTCCTATCTATATATATGTACATTTTAATCCTGTCCATAGACTCACTCGCTTGCTTACTCTTCGGCACTCACATATCATTCTTGCTTCGTGTATAGTGCGATAATAAACGTAGTCAACGCTCTGTATTCGTTTTCTGATTTATACATCGTTGGGCGTTATCCACTAACGGTTATCGGTAAGAACAGTATACGAATTTTAAGAATTATATCGAATACCGATCGTCACAGAATTGTTGATTTCCGACATACGAACGCAACATAGCTTTCTCAGTCAGTCAGTCAGCTACAACGTAGGACCAGGCACATATGTGCATCGGTCCAGGTTGCCATACCGCATCAGCATAACAAGATGAACACCGGATTCATAGCAGTGATTAGGTCAAAGGTCGTAATATATAAGAGAACATAGCTTTCTAGGATTCTATCGAAATACAAGAATCAACCTAATCTATCTCGATACGAATTATTACAGTGGATTATTATTATTATCGTATATTCATGACATGATAATTATTTCATAAACATTATTGAACATATTTTGACAATATTAACAACCACAAGTAACGACATACATACAATTATTATACTAATGAAGTTTAGTAAGTCTGTTCCGTGTTATACCATTTTATCATTTGTTACTAGCATTATTACTGTCTATCTAATTTCCTTCCTTTATATATAAGTTTATGTATTTGTGTACTACTCATTGTATACAAACATGTCTTCAGATAAAGACACAATAAGTCTTCCACAAGCGCCGTAAGTGAGGCCCCATAATTTTACTATTCTTCCTTTTAGTGTCACCGACCCACAACTTTGGTTTATTTGGCTTAAAAATTACCTTTTAGCTAACCGTATTCATTTGCAACAAGATAAATTTGGCCACGCAAGCTCACTGCTTCTGGATGAAGTAGCGGACAATTTGTGAGAGTTCCTTATTAAACCGGATGCAGAAAAGCCGCATGACGTATCAAAGCAGGCTGTGATAAAAGCCGTCAAGCAGCTTTTCAGTCAAGTGCAGATAGGAGACAGGACTCCATCACAGCCAAAAAAAATTACATAAGCAGCATAATAGAGGACAGGAAGGTAGACAGTTGTGGCTCCGTCGACTCCCTTTGAATGTGCAGTTGAGGATAGCGCTGACGACATAAACAACATCACTAAAACAGCTGATAGGATATATGAGAAAATCAAACACACGATTTCATATGATTTTGTTATACGTAGGAAATGATTAAATATAAAGGAAAACTTACATTTGGATATTTCAAGGTACGATCGCGATCTGTATTATTATTACTGACTGACTCTCTCGATCCGGAATTCGAATAACCAGTTAAGTTACTAAAAGAACACAATGATAATAATGACGAATCAGTAATAATTTTCGATGCGCATAGTAAACTAATACAATGAGAAAAGCTATAAACTAAGTTCATATAAATATTACAACAACGACTTATCACTTAAATAAATTACTAGATTAGAAGGGTTTTGTCCAGATTTTTAGTAGTTTCAATAGTTGAAATCATGAGTCAATTGAAGCTAGACCACCATGGAAAACCTGTGAGCATTGGACGACAGTTTCGTCCTAGTTTGGGACTCCTCATCAATATACACACACGATCCCGCCTCCCGCAAGATTCGAACCCATGATCTATCAGTCTGGCGAGCGAGCGCTTAACCACTATACCACTGAGCCGGCATCCAATGGTGTTAGTGTCTAACTTCATCCAATCCACGAAATCGCGCCACCGCACACCGTTGTCCTCAGTGAGCCGATATCTTACAACAGACCTGGTTGAACTTCACTGGTCACTGTTTCTCACTAGAACTCCAGGAAATGCCTCTTGAAGTCAGTCGCTAGTGATCTCAGTAGTCTAATGATTAGGGGTTCGCGCGTGAGACTGATAGGTCTTGGGTTTGAATCTTGCGAGGGCAGAATCGTGACTACGCACTGCTGGAGTGTCCCGTACTCTCGATTTTAAGTCCTTTTTTATCATCGTAATCGATGCCGTTACATCTAACTTCTTGTTATTCATTTTGTTCACTTCACTTCGTTCTATAAATTTAATCTGTTAGGTTAAACGGAATGAACAAAACTTTCTCCTACAAGAAAGTGATTAAGAATTAGATTATATATTTCTAACATCAAAGTCCGAATTTTCAATACAAATATCAAAACAGTGCCAATGTCTGGGGTGGAAACTTAGAGAACTACGAAACCCATCATTCAGAAGATACAACTGTTTATTAACAGTAGTCTACACAAAATTCTTCGGATCCGTTGGCCACACAATATCAACAACCATCTACTGTGGGAAAAGATAAAAGTAATTTTAATCTTACGGTTTAAGGGAAGATAAAGAGTGTATACACCAATGCCTGCGTGATCGATTTCGAGCCGTCATTGAGAGTCTCCAACCATTGATTACGATAGTCACGCCGACAATCAAGTAGTCTGCATCTACCAAAATGGCTGACATCAGAAGTTAGTGACTTCAAGGACTGATGACATGTTTTAGTTTGGCCACGCCTAACATTCTTTCAACCATTCCCAACACTAGTCAACATTGGGCGTTGTGGTGATCGGTGTTCAGGCATACACAACACGTGGCCCAAACATCTCAGTCGATGAATATTTACAACTTCATCAACTGATTTAACATAATGTTCTAATACCTTGCTTCTTACTTCACTATTTCTTAACCGGTGATTCCAGAAGATGCGAGCAATATTTACACGGCATCTGTGATTGAATACTAGCAACTTACGAGTATCTTCTATTTTTAATGGATACGTTTTGCAGCCGTAAATTAGAACAGAACGAACTGCTGCGTAGTATACTCGATGTATAATCAATGATAGAAACGTTATTTAATTTATATATATAGTCCTATAATTATTAATTTACAAATCATAGAACTATACCTAGTAACTTACAAAGAAAAAAATAAAAGAAACATTTCATCTTTATAGATTAGATTGTCATCTAGAAGTTATAAATAGTTCCACAGTACTTCGGCGACAAGTTTATGTGTGACATTAGTGAGGGAGAATATACTACCCCTAGAGATTTGTGGATAAGATTATAATTAAGATTACAAATTAATTTTCAATAATTAATCAATTACTTTCATGATCCTGAAACAAGTAATATTTCTATAAAACTTAGAAACTATATTCAGTTTTGGCCATTAAAGAGTATAATAATAATAATAGGAATAGGAATTATTAGGTCACTTAGTGTTATGATTACGACCCAGATGCTCCTATTGCTTATTATTCTTGAACATTACTTCATTAGACAAGTCCTTAAATCAGAGCATAGTTGAACACGAACGTAATTATATCCCAAAGAACAAGGTTGGAATGAAGTAGTAACTACAAGAAATAAAACATTAGTATCTTTATCATTTTTACATAACAAGATCCTAAAGCCTTCTCCAAGTCCCAGCTAGCGCTGATTGGTTAGGAGGTAGCCAGTCAATGTGCCTCAACACAATCGTGCACGGAACAGTTTTAATCCAATCTATATCCTTTTAACACTTAGATTTTGTCAGAAGGGGTTTGTGGAGATTTTTAGAAATTTTCACAAATTGAAATCGTGAGTCAGTTGAAGCTAGACCACCATTGAAAACCTGGAAGCACTGGACGGCCGTTTCGTCCCGTATGGGACTCCTCAGCAGTGCGCATCCACGATCCCGCACCACGCGGGGCTCGAACCCAGGACCTACTGGCTTCGCGCGCGAGCACTTAACCATTAGGTCCTGGGTTCGAGCCCCGCGTGGTGCGGGATCGTGGATGCGCACTGCTGAGGAGTCCCATACTAGGACGAAACGGCCGTCCAGTGCTTCCAGGTTTTCAATGGTGGTCTAGCTTCAACTGACTCATGATTTCAATCTGTGAAAACTTAGATTTTGATTGAACACAGTAAGGGAAGTTTAAAATAAATTGTTTTGTAAATAAAATACTGATAATTTTGAAACAAATTCATATTAATTCCATTTAATGACTACTAAAACCATGAATTGTTACAGTAATGATTACTGAAATAAATTTATGTTACGACGGTCAGATTTGAGAAATGATTAGTTGTTCTATAATCTTTGATTATTAGTTACTTATCTAATAATCAAACAATATTCAAATTTCAATAGATGAGATTATGAGTCAATTGAAGAGGCAGGTCGTGAATGCGCATTGTCGAGGAGCCCCATAATAGAACTAAACGGCCGTCCAGTGCTTCCAGAATCTCCATGGTGGTCTAGCTTCAATTGACTGATGATCTCAACTATTGAAATTACTACAATCTCCATAAAACCAATTCTGATACTCAAATTATTTCGTAGGATTAATTTATAAGTAAACAATTTTAGGTGGTTGAAGGTAGTCGGAAGGAAATTATGGACCTAGGTTTCATGCTACTCAGTATTCTTTACTATTGTGTACCTAAAATATTCAGGGAATTAATGCTGTAGGTGGGATTTATACTTTTTGTCATACATTTCTATAATCTAAGACCCCCTAACATTGAGTTAATCACATTTCGAACGACCTTTTATAAAACTGAAATCAATCACTTTTATACCTAAATTCCTCAAACTATAATCAAATACTCGATGAACCTGTTATTTTCCAAAGTCCATCATGTTGAGACTTTGATGTGATCAGCTTCATTAGCAAACTATCATTTCAACCATCTGTGGAATTCCACTATTTCAGTTAAATTCTTCAAGATGTTCTAACTACAAGAGCAACTTGTTGTAAACACTAAGTGTTTAATCTTGAAGAGAATATATATCATTATTATTACTTATAATTCATTGTTATAAATAAATATCAGAGAAATTAGAAGGGATCATTAAAATTTAAAAAAAATAAATCAATTATGAATATCAACTTACCGAGTCCTTCCTTTTTTCGGCCTAAGGGCAATTGTTCCACATTCATTATCATGAAGTGATGATTGTGAACAACTTAAATCCTTTATTAACAGAAATAAAGAAAAAAACATATATACATATAGGAAATATAAAATAAAGTTGTAGACATTAATTAAGAACTTATGAATGTTCATACTTGTTCCTGAAGGAAACGTAATATGCATATATAGTATAACCACGATCTCGCATGCTGGACTCGAACCGAGGATGCGTACTGCCAACGAGTCTCATACTAGGACAAAACGGCCGTCCAATACTTTTAGGTTTTTAATAGTGGTTCAACTTATATTGACTCATGAAATCATCTATTAAAATCATTACAATCCTCACAAACCCACATTCTAATATATGTATATGTCAATAGTTGAGATCATGAGTCAATTGAAGCTAGAACACGATGTAAAACCTGGAAGCACTAGACGGCCGTTTCGTTCTATTGTGGGACTCCTCAGCAGTGCTTATCCACGACCCCTCCATGTCATTCAAATATAGAGAGTATTGACTATATAACCGAAAATGTATTCATTATTAACTCATAATTAGTTGAATGATTACTAGAATGTTAATAAACAATTAAATAATAGAACCATTATGAACAGATATTGATGATGGCTAGCAATGAAATTCATGATGTTGATAATGACGTTTGTAACTTAATGACAATATTGAGACAGTGTAACAAGGAGATAAAGATTATGTGATGATATATTAGCGCAATACATTTCAAAAGATCCGATCACACGTTGTATACTTGTTAAGAACGTTTATATATAAAAATAGAAGGTCAACTAGACTAGAAATTGAGGGTAAGAGGAGATAAGCATAATAAAGAAAATAAGATGAGAACAATTTGAAACCTCATCACTCTGGATAATAAGCTAATATATTACCAGGGTAGGTTTAAGTTGAAAGCAAGCTGTTTTTGAATACATAAATAGGGAATTCCAATTTTCGTATGGCTAAGGCTTCAATGGAGATCAGTATATGTACTTTTGTACAACACCACAAATGCCATGTTAGGATCAACCTTATGATATGTTTCAATTGTGTGTTTGACAATACAGGATGATGGATGTTTATCATCTACTCTTATTGAGGCATTTGATATATATGTGTGATCAGACTTCGAAATGTATTGTGCTAATATATCAACATGTAGTACTGATAAACTTCGTCTTCTTATTATGCTGTTCAAATATTGAGACAATTTGCGCAGGACTCATACAAACCAAGAAGAAAACTAATCAATCGCAGTTATTAACATCAATGAGAAGATTCAAAACAGCTGGTAGAATAAATCATTATATTTTAAGTAAGCAACTTTTTGTTTTCATTTAGAAGGAGAGCATGAAATCTAGACAAGGTTGCTTACTCTCACCCTTTCTCTTTCTCCCAGTGATCGACTGCATCATGAAGTCGTCAACATCTGGGAGGAGCACGGGATACAGTGGACAGCTAGTATGCAGCTGGACGATCTAGACTTTGCAGATGATCTGGATCTCCTATCGCACACGCAAAAACAAATACAAAAGAAGACGACCAGTGTAGCAGCAGCCTCAGCAGCAGTAGATCTCAACATACACAATGGGAAAAGCAAGATTTTCCGATATAGCACAACATGCACCAATCCAATCATCATTGACGGAGAAGCTTTGCAGGATGCAAAAACCTTTACATATCTGGTCAGTATGATTAATGAACACGGTGGATCTGATGCAGATGTGAAGGCACGGATCGGAAAAGCAAGAGCAGCATATTTACAATTGAAGAACATCTGGAATTCCAAACAAGTGTCTGTCAACCAACACCAAAGTCCGAATTTTAAATACAAATATCAATACAGTGCCAATGTATGGGGTGGAAACTTAGAGAACTACGAAACCCATCATTCAGAAGATACAACTGTTTATTAACAGTAGTCTACACAAAATTCTTCGGATTCGTTGGCCACACAATATCAACAACCACCTACTGTTGGAGAGAACAAACCAGATCCCAGCGTAGGAAGAACTCAGGAAAAAGTTCTGTCAGTCAGTCAGTCAGCTACAACGTAGGACCAGGCATATATGTGCATCGGTCCAGGTTGCCATACCGCATCAGCACAACAAGATGAAAACCGGATTTATAGCAGTGGTTAGGTCAAAGGTAGTAGTATGTAAGAGAAAGATTGCATATAGAGATACAGTACAACAAGAAAGAATTGGTTAGTAGAAAGAAAGATATAAAGTGATTTTAATCTCTTACCTTAAGGGAAGACAGGGAGTGTATACACCGACGTCATTGTGATCGATAATGAGCCATATCACCAAGAGTCTCCAACCATTGGTTACGATAGTCACGCGGACCCCAACCAAGTAGTCTGCATCTACCAACATGGCTCAGACTAGAAGTTAGTGACTTCAAGCACTGATGCCACGTTTTGGTTTGGCCGCCCCTAACTTTCTTCCAAACATCCCCAGCACCGGTTAGCATTACATGTCATGGTAATCGGTGTTCAGGCATACGTGACACGTGGCCTAACCATCTCAGTCGATGAAGATTAACAACCTCATCAACTGATTTACCATCATTACCTAATACCCTGCGTCTAACCTCACTATTACTTACCCGGTGATCCCACCAGACGCCAGCAATATTTCTAAGGCATCTGTGGTCAAATACTAATAGCTTACGAGTGTCTTCTACTCTTAATGACCATGTTTCGCTGCCGTAAATTAAAACAGAACAAACTGCCGCGCAGTATACTTGTCCTTTTATTGATAGACGGATATCTCGCCTCCGCCAGAGGTGACGTAAGTTGGCAAAAGCCAAAGGAGCTTTTCGAATCCGTGCTGAGATTTCGTCAGACACCAACCCATTAGGGCTGATCAGACTTCCAAAATAAGTGAAGTTGTCGACGCGTTCGACTACTTCACTCCCTATCCTTAGTTCAGGTGTTGACGCCGACCAGTCGTGAAGCAACAACTTGCATTTAGAGGGAGAGAAGCGCATTCTAAACATCCTGGCATTGTTGCTCAGTGCTATCAGAAGACTCTGCATTTTGTCAGCGTCTTCACCAAACAGGACTATGTCATCTGCGTATTCTAAGTCGATGAGTGGACCTCCTGGTAGGAGATCAATACCCGAGAATTCAGTTGACGAGAATGTTATTTCCATCAGTAGATCTATGATGAAGTTAAACAAAAATGGGGAAAGTGGACAGCCTTGACGGACACCACTTGAGGTTGCAAAAGTGGATGATAGTTCGCCATAAGCTCTGACTGGACTAGTAGTGTTCGAGTAAAGAGCCTTTACATGGTTTAAGTACTTCTGGGGTACGCCTTTCAGTGACAGACACTGCCACAGAATCTCGCGGTCTACCGAGTCAAATGCTGCTTTTAAGTCAAGAAAGGCCAGTTGAACTGTTCTCTGAAATGTTCCGCCCATCGTTCTAAACGTCTGGACTCGGAGCAGATTAGTGTATCGTCTTTTTCCGATATAATCTCACTTACACTTGACTTATTAATTCCAGTTTCTTTTATTAGTCTGTAAAGCTGTCTTGTGTTCCCTATAGTTGCCGCCTTTTCCATCTCTTTTGCTTTCGTTGCCCATCGCTGCTCACGGTCGTTTCTTAGACTTTTTCTTAACCTAGATCTGATTTGTTGTCGCTCTTCATCATGTTCAGAACCTGATGGGACGAGTTTGCGAGAATCCATCAGTGTGATTGACTTTGAAGAAATCCACTGGTTCTCTGTAACTCTGTCGTTTAAGTCGCTAATAGATGTCACTGCTGCTTCCACAGCTGCTTGTATTTCATTCCAAGCAACATCTGGGTCAGCCTCGTCTTCAGAACTACCTAAGTGTGACCTCAGTTGTTCCTGGAACCTACTTTTGGTTTCCTCGCTACTCAGTTCGGTTCTAATGGGTCTTTTTACTGTGGCTCTTTTTGCGTCCAGTGAGGTACAAGCAGATGCGTGCCCGTATTAGGGCATGGTCGGAGTCCAAGCAGGTACTCCAGAATGAGCGACAATCTTGTGCCGACCCTCTCCAACGATGACTGATGGCAATATGGTCTATTTGAGTCCATCGTTGGTTTGGTGCAGGCGGTCGCCACGTTAGACGATGTCTCTCCTTATGCTTAAAATTTGTGTTTGCTAAAAATAAACGATTGTCTGAGCACAGTTGCAGCAGGCGGTCACCATTATCTGTTCGCTGTGCCGGAATGCTAAAATATCCACCTAAATGCCTTTCTGTTTGGTTTAAGCTACCTATCTGAGCATTAAAGTCACCCCCTACGAGTACTATGTCTGAGCGTTTAGCTTTCTGAAGTTCGGACAGCTTTCTGTAAAATTCATTTTTCACATCATCTGAGCTACAGTCAGTGGGAGCGTAGGCAGAAACGACGAAAAGGCAACGACGTGTGTCCCTATCCTTCTGGGTTCTTACGGAGCCGTTTAGCCGAACAGCACATAGACGACTGTTGACGGGGATCCACTCTAGCAGTGCTCGTTCCGCCCTCATGCTTAGTGCTATGCCTACACCTGCCAGTCCACGAGAACTGGCCATCGGGTCACCAGATACGCGGAGGGTGTATCTCGTTGGCTCTCCGTTTTGCCGAGGTGAGGCCAAGTGAATGACCACACTGGGATCCTGTATGCGTGTTTCGGAGACACAGCATACATCAATGGAAAGAGACTCTAGGGTTTTAGCCAAGGAAGCCTGCTGACCGATTTGACATAGAGTGCGTACGTTGAAAGCTCCAATGTGTAGTTTGGAGCGAGGTTTCAGTAGACCTGGGACAGAGTTTTGAGCACTAGAATCGTTGGCTATGGTGACACTTGAGGAGGAAGCCGAAGGAGGAAGTTTAGGGTTGAAAGTCGATGTAGGAGGAATAATAGGAATTGAAGAGGGAGGTTGATTATGAATACAGTGGTCTTGAGTGCTGTTAGAGGTATGAGGGCGGTTATCACTTCCCGGTTGCCCACACCGTGGAAGGGTTCTTCTGGAGGTACCTGAAAAGGAAATTGGATTAGAGGCGGTCTCAGTGACCTGAGAGCGTGACCGCAGAGACCAACGGACAACTGCTTGAGGCCGGTCGCGCACGGCCTTTTCGTGGAAGGTTTTTGACGTGTTAGCTCCGTTCTTCAAAGGGCCTTACCGCCGGAGACGGAAATCCGTGAGGTAAGGTGAGGTGAGCATTTTTAGTTTCGACCATTTCTAACCCCACTCCTCCTTGTGGGAAGGCAGCATCGCTGTCATGCTGGTTGTCTGAAGGAAACACCTTACTGCTGTCACACCTCTGTACAGTCAGCAGTACGACTTCGCCTTCGGACCTTGGGTTTGCTGCTTTTAGTCTTACCGCTCTTCAACCGACCTGTCTGACATGGTAGGACCTTGAGGAACGGTTGTTCCAGCCAGTATAGCTCGGTTGCTTCATCACGATAGGCAAGCCCGACCACCACGTCAAGGTAGCAACAACGGTCGGGGAAGAAGTTCTGGAAGTGGATGGGACACACATTGAGGGAATCACCCAACTGCCTCACAAGGCAAGCCCTCACCTGGAATCCCCAAGGCCAAAGGAGGAGAGGAAGACCAAAGAACATATTACGTCGAGGAATGGATACAGACGTGAGAGGAATGAACAAAAATTGTATAGAACTAGAAAGGAAGGCCTTGGAAAGGATGGTTCGGAGAATACTGGTTGGTGGCCTATGCTCCATCGGCAGTAACAGGCGTAAATAAGTAAGTAAGTATGAAACCCAGAGATTATGAAATCTAACGTGAATACATAGATAGATGAATGGTTAATACATAACAACAACATTTCTTCAACGAAAATCAAATGTGATAAATTCGAATATCACAAGAGACATTTTAACATCTCATTTAAAAGAAAATTAGACATGTAAGCATCATCATTTAAATGGTATTTTACAAGAGAATTAGCCAACAGAATTAGGTGTACATTATGTGGAATATTGTTGTGTACATGGAATTCAACAGTGATTCCTTAACATTACAGATAGAATAATACATGAATGTATCTGATTTGTAATATATATCTTCCCATCTTATTTAATTTCGTCATAATATATACTTTTTATTAAGCTTACATGGTGTTCTCAGTCGGTTTTTGATTGCAATGTAGACAAAAATCACATGGTGGGATTTATAATGCTGTGCGAATAAGATATGCCAAAGACAATGGAATTGGTTCTTGTTCAGGCAGGGTAATATCATAGCAAATTATAAGATTGCAAAGATCACTATATAATTGTGGAAGTCCTAGAAGGAATAACTTTCAAGTTAAATGTCATACAATACTTAATTATTTACATTTGTATTAAGGTTCCTGCAAATATAAGTATATGGTTAGATAAAGGATATGAGTATATGAGTACCTTCAGACTACCAGTAGAGTTCTATTCATATTTTGGCAAAGCACAAAACCTTTTATGAGTCTAATTAGTACTATACCAAACAGTTAAAACACTAAACAACAATTTAGATTGTATACAGAATAATTTTATGAATAAATTGATGAGTTCAAACTCATCATTCACTGTTTTTCTCTGTAAAAAACGTTAAGTAAATTAGTTTTGAAAATAAATTACTATGTCAGTCAGTCAACCAATCAGTTAGTTACAACGTAGGACCAGGCACTTACATGCATCGGTCCAAGTTGCCACACCTCAATAACACAGCAAGACGAACATCGAATTCATAGAAATAGTTGACCCCATGGTGTAATATATAAAGTACCGAAAGAAACTTTTAGTTGGTAGAAAGATAGAAGTGTATAGACAGTGTATACACCTATATCATCGTGGTTGATTGTGAGCCATGTCACCGACAGTCTCCACCCATTGGTTACGATGGTCACGAGGACCCCAATCAAGTAGTCTACATCTATCAACCTGGCTAGATCACAGCTAGGATTATATGTATATATATACGTTTATATGCATACGTTTATTTATTTCTTTGTTTTAAATTTACTCTTTACAGGAATCTACATCTCATTTAAACTTGACTTTATTATCCGTTGTATTATTTATCTATTAAATCTCATGGGCCTTGTGACCTATTAATGTATAACGTAATGATATTGGTGATTAGAGAATAGTGACTTATCAATCAGACCGATAATGCATAAACCCGTACAAGCAGTCTAGAATCCTTATCGGTCCTTCTTCCTGCCTAGCCCTTCCTGTTAAGTCCAGAACACCAATCTCAGCCTCCGCGATATGAATCCTGTATTTCATACATACTGGGTTTATATATCAACCAAACAGACCACATCGTACGATAAAATAGAAAACAACATTTGTACAAGATTAAGCCAAATATGGCTGTGAATAAGGGAGGTGGTGATTAATAGACTGGGCATAACTCAATAATGATAAATCGTATAATAATAGTTCATAGGTCAAAATAAAGCTCATAATAAGAGAGACATGAATATGTATAGTTTAGTTACTTGACAATTACACAATTAGAAAATATGTATAGTAATATTCCAAACATCGATTCCAACAGTTATCACTTATTATTTTCATCAGGATATAACAATCTCTTCATCACAATGTATATCATCTGTAGAATGACTGGTAGTTATTATTTGAGAGCGGATTTTAGTTAAATATTATATTACTTGATAAAATGCTATAACAAATTTGCTAAATAAATCTTGTATTCTGTGGATGCTAGTCTGGATGACACGAAATTGTGGAGCAATTCGTTTAGTCTTAAATAGTTCCTGACTTTTATCCTGATTGACGTTTGAATCCCTTGGTCAACATGATATCGATTACGACTTAAAGCTTATATCACAGACTGAAATTACTTAAGTAACCATTGAAAACCAGGAAGCACTAGACAACTGTTCCGTCCTAACATGGCGATCCTCAACAGGCTAGCCCTCACAATCTTTCGGGAATCTATTATACGTCGAGGGTGGGGAAGTCGCCCAACACTGACAATGACTCAATTTAGCTAATAGATTTAAGCAAGGCATGTAAGCGATTTGATGCTGCCCCAGTGGTCTTAAGACCACTGCTAAGGAATCCCAGAATAGGACAATTCAGTTGTCTGATGCTTCCTCGTTTCTAATGATGATGTAACTTGAGTCGGCTCGTGTTGTAAACCATAAAATAAAAAGTAAGACCAATCTTTCGCAATGATATATCGTGTTAACAGCAGTCTACCTAATTCTGCCAGACTGAGAATCTTGCAGAAGACTGAAGCTATCGTTATTCGGATCAAAAATCTAAAGCTTTACATCTTAAACGTTTTGGACTTAATTTTTGGTAGAATTACGACAGTTTTCATCTTCAACTTTCCATATATCTTATCAAAGATTAATTTATATCATTACAGGGATTCTCATATGAAAATAATGAAACATGGATAAAATCTCCCTTTTTTATGATTATTAAGCACTATGACTTCGAGTTAATCAGTAAACATTAACATTAACAAGCTTATAAAGCTTGTGACTTAAGGCTGCATTGAGGCAACCCGCACAGGATGCACATATGTCAACACGAGACTGATCAATCGAATTCCTAAATAACAATGAGAAGATGCAAGTAAAACAACACCAGGTGAATTTAAACTTCACCCCTTTGCACAAGCAGGTGGCTACCACGACTCAGTAGCTAAGTGGATAACGCAATGGCGTTTGAAGAGAACGGTGCTGGGTTCGAGTCCTGGAGTGAACATCAACTCTGGGATGCAAGTACATCCATCGGACGAGTCCCAAACAGGATAAAATGTGCGTCCTGGATTCCACTGCTAGCTACAATCCATCTTTGCTTAAAACGTTTGGGACTTAAGGCGATGTCGAGGCAATCCACACAGGATGCACATATGCCAACATGAGACTGATCAATTGCAGTCCTAAATAACAGTAGGAAGATACAAGTAAAACAATAGCTAGCAAATTTAAAACAACTCTTTTTAACTTACTGCTAATGAATGAAATAATGAATTTGGTAATTTAATTTCGGTACTTCGTAAAATATCATGCATAATAACACTACCAAGTGAATGTGCAAGTACAGAGATTTGACCACCTTTTTGAAGAAATTGTGGATTTTTTGAACAAAATAAATTAAATAATCTAGTTAATTCATAACTTAAACTTTGCATAATATCATGACGATATACAGGACTTGTATAATATAAAATATCAACAAAACTTTGATTTATATAATCACGTAATGGTCTTAATTGTGCTATAGTTACATTATCTAAAGTTTTTGAATTCAATGATAATGAACTACGCCAATTCACTGGAATGAATTCAAGTCGTTGTCCAGTTTCAGGTAGTTTAGGATATAGTTTTTCAGCTACTTTTTGACATGTTTTTCTTATTCTATAGGAAAAAAAGTAAATAAAAGAACATATATATAAATATATAGTGAGGTACTCTTGTAGTAAATGTTTTAAACATATATGTATTTAGGTGAATATTGATGTGGACAGAGAAACAAGGGGCCTTGACAAACTACGGAAGCTATTTTTTCGGGGACGTTATTTCATTTCATTCAAAGCTTGTAAAACATCAACATTTATTTTCGTCCCTAGCCTATTCTACAAATCATAAGCTTTCGTTCAATGTATGATCCATTATCATAGCCTATTTTGTTCCATAGCTATTGTCATCTAAACGTAATATTTTTTAATCTATTTTCTACACTAATCTCCAGTTTTCGACATAATTGCATTTTCCTAATTGTTGTGCGTTGTGGTCTGGTTAGTGTTCTATTTATTCTGATGTCGGGAACCAGATCGGAATGGAGAATAAATGGAGTAGTGTTCCAGTTGACTTGTCTCCACTCACTCGTGTGCTTGTTAGCCAATCAGATGATAGAATAGCTTTTGTCTCTCTACCCCAAGCAGTTGGTTTCACTTCGAACTCAGGCATACTAGCATCACGTTTAAGCCAGTCAGCCTATCGTGTCAAGGTTTCAATCTAGATTAGACAAGTTATCCTGTGCACAAAAGTGGGTAAACAGATCAAGGACGTAACAAATACATCAGTATGAATACGTATAATTAGAAAGGTGAATAACAGGTTATACTTCATAAATACCTTTTCGTCTATAAAAGGTATGTGGAGCTTGTTGAGTATCATAGTTTACAATACATACTGATTTTATTTGGATAATCACTGAAAACCAATAAGCACTCACTATGTGAACAATAATAATGTGTCAGGTGTTAATTCACCGAGTTCTAGTAAGAAACCGTGATCAGTGAAGTTTAACCACGTCAGGTTTGGGCCGGTAACTAAATAACGGGAATAGAAAGTGATTAAAAAGTGTGGTTAATCGATCAAAGTTGTAAATGCTGTGCGCTGGATATCAGATAATGTATCTTACAGTTAAGTGCTAGTCAAAAAACCTGAAGGTCCTGGGTTTGGTCCTCATAAGTTTTGGGAACCTGCACTGCCTAGTCTCATAGTAGAATAAGACAGCTATCCAGTACTTCTTAATTTTTAGCCAATTTTCAACTGGAGCAAGTCAGTGGAGTAAAGCACATAAATTACCAAACAAAGGTTAAATCGACTACGTTAAACAACTAACAATCAGACTTTATGCATCAAATCATCTAATCTAATAGCTAATAAATTTTGTCACGTGAATAGACAAAAAGTATTGGAAAAATGAAAAACGTACTTGGCACATTCATGGCGTATACTAGCTAACTGTTGACCGATACCATGGACAACAAAGCATACATGAGTAATAGGGGGAGGTCTATCACTAGTTTCCGCTGGACGATTAAATCCTCTGCTAATAGGAACACTACCTTTAAGGTAAGAGTATTCGGTTTAAAAAATGTTCTAATGGAGTACTCACTTAATCCTCCGTGTAATCTAACTTTGCCAAAAGGCTCTGCACTTTTAGTAACTAAATAGATAGTACCATCAGGCATCCATTTTATTTCATAATTGTTTGACTGATATTTATGAACAGCTGAAATAAATGTGACAACAGAATTATGGGCCAATCATTACTTACGTTTATGACTTTTGCCTGTAACTCCCTTCAATTTAGGTATAGCATACGTACGATGTTCATATTCAATCACTTCAGATAACTTTGTATCCAAAGGTAACCAATTGATCTTCTGAAACCAAACAGCACGCACCACTCTGGTTGAACACCAAGTTTTTCTTCTACTATGTACAGATCGCTTTTTGCCAAACCAGTATATAGGAATGCATTGGCAACTTTCCATGTCTACTTCGAACATCTCCCCACGAACAGTAATCTTATCGTAAACTCTGTCCGTGCTGCCGTTATAACGCTCTCGATAAGCTGTTTCAAGACGTATTGAATCATATCCACAAAATGGTTTCCATGTACTTACTCCACCAGAACGACGGAAATACAACCAACGGACAGCTTCGATAGGAACTTCATCATCAAGCAGAAAAATGCTCATATTTGACTACGGTCTTCTCATTAAGAACCTACTTTTTAGGTGAAATATTGAAAAGGAATGATCATCAGTTACAGAGTATATGAAGTCACATTTGTAATATTCAGCAAACTTCATATTGAGTACAAATGAAGTATTTACCTCCGTATATTATTTGCTGGACTGATGAAATAACGTCAATCGCACATAGGTGAGGTAGTCATGTATCACTATAAATGCTATCGTAAAATATATTTATTTTTCTATTGTTCATTAAATTGGCATTAAACGAAAATTTACTCATACATTTTAAAACTAGGTTTCTTTGAATTCGTGACGTTTCAAATGGCCTGGTCTTTCAGGCGTGGCCCTTGTTGAATGTTACCTTAAATCTTTTACTCATATTAAATATCATGTTCTATCTTCAGACTGAATGTGTTCTCCATCATATATTGGTAACTATTACGACACGATAAGTCAGTGTAGACGATAATGTGACTTCCACGTAAGATTTTACAGATTAGACAGTTACATCATGAAAAATCTGCAATTTTAGGATTAACTCTATAATTGGAGCAATACTAATATCATAGTAGACCATAATTTTACATGTTTCTTCTTACATGTATCAAGTGGAACAAACAAGCTACGTTCTCACAAAAGTATACAAAGCTGTAATGTTTTTGAATAATCAACCTTCCATAATAAACCGTTAAAATTCAGTCTTTAAAGTGACTCTATCTTCTCAAAGTTTTCTAAAGAACCCACGGTCTTCTATAGCAGTTAACAATGTTTAGCAATGAAGGGTACATAATCCTGTGAAAAACACTCAACTAGTTTACGTACTTTTTATTTCTTGAGAATAGTTCTGAGGACGAAAACTGAACTAGAGATGTCACTTTAAAATATCAACTGTCAGAACATGGACGAATTTAATTTTGAGACTACCCAATCTCTCGATTTCGGGGTTATCTCGAAAAGATCAATGACGATTGGCAGTCTTCCAAACCTTTGGGGGATTTTGTACTCTGTTCCAAAAATCTCAGAACGGACAAAATTTTCCTCAAAACAGAGAGATTGAGCAGGCTTGTCGCATGTTTATCTATAGAAAATGATTTTCAGACAAAAGGTAATGTGCTTTAACGATCTCGTGAGGCATTTCGTAAAACCCTAGAATTTATTCGTTAGTCTTATCTGTATGGTTAAAAAGACAGAATGACTACTTATTACTCGCGGGTATGCAACCCGTAAGTTGTTCCTAATGTAATTGTTCCAGTATCTTAAATAAAGTTAAAATCTTCAAATCCACTACTCTATACTTGAAAAGTTTACATTCAAATGTTTACAGACGAGAAATGTACCTTTATTTACAAGAACATCATGGCCACCAAGAAAGTATCGAGAACGGAAACAACAAGCTCTAATACGATTTTGTGCCTCTTCGCAAGGTCAAGATAGTATATTACAACAAATGTTAAACATTAAGATTAGGAAATTCAATATCAACAACTTCTAGTCCCATAAGATTTATGTTTGAACTGAACTGAATTTTTTTCATAAATGGGAAATACAGCTTTTTTGTATCGACAGTGTATGAATTTGATAGAGCAAGTATTTCCTAACAGCAGTTACTAGACAAAGGTACAACAAATACAGTGAACTTATTATTTTCACGACGATAGATATCCTTTTTAAAGTGAGATATGTGAAGATGCTGTCGATAAGACAAATACTCGTAGCGAATTTCCATAAAGATCTGTAACGACACCTCGTCCAATACCACCCTCTGTAGTCTTTAAAAAAATGGCGCCAGTATATTAGCATTTTCTCTGGATCACGAAAACCTGTGCCTCGAAAAACATGATAATAGAGACTCTCACCAAATCTGAAATGAATGTCTTGGAACTATACAGGTCGCTCAAGCATCTTATGGATACCGAAACTGTCTAACAATTCTTGAGAACATCGTTACAAACCCTGTCACACAAACAATGGACGCTGAGAATACTCACATCACCTGTGAAGTACATCCTTGTCACTTCAGAAAGCTCTTCAGCTTAACCTATAGCTATTTATGAACGGTATATTATGACCTTATTGGTAACTGATAATAATTACACATTACTAACTATCTTGATGACAGTTCACAACTTTACCAATACTTCTATAGTGGTCAATATCCCTCTTGTGAAACTTGGCCATATTCAGTGGAGACAAGTCTTAAACATATCCGAAAGAGATTGGAGGTATGTGTCAAGTAGTCTCTTTTTTAATCATAAAGATAAAGTGCCTAGAAAGCCATACATAAACTAATGGATAATGCCTCATAAGTCAATAGTTTAAAGTAGAAAACAGGCACTCATAGCAAGAGCTGTGGGCGTAATTACAAGCTAATCATTTTGATGCATTAGCTTCTCAGATGGCCTTGATCATACAGAGTAAACATACTATGTACACAAAGGCACAATGGCTTGTGAGACCTTACTTGCTAGCAACATCAGTAATGGTTAAGCTTAAATAATAGACCTAAAGCTGTTGCACGAGGTTGGGCCAAAATCTTTACTTCTTTGGATCTCGAGAGTTCTCTTTTTCCATGACGAGCTTTTAAGATACGTTGTAACCATGATTTATGAATAGTTGCAGTCGTAAATGACATCTTTTGTACCCATATGATGTTTGTGAATAATAATAAGCTTTGACTTTTCTGAAACGTCCATTCTTGACACCCGATAGGGATGTTTCACATGTAAACGTATCGTAGACCTTGTTAATACCCCCTCTTTCCATTGAACATATCTAAACATTGTAATAAGTTTAACAAGTTGGCGAAGTAATCAAACTGGATTAAAGTTTATCCTAATCTACATTTTCATCATTCGAGTAGCCTATGATTCACACCTAGCCACAGAGCAGACTGAAAGTGTTAATCAGCCCTTCTTATTGTTCAATATTTTTATCACTAGAGCTCTGTCTGAACAGGTTTTATGCAAAACAATAGACATAGAACTGATATCAGCAATTACCTTGATCAGCGAGATAAACTAATTGGGCAATCAATTTTAGACTCCTGCCCCCTAGTCCGTTGATAAACACATCTTCTTCCAAGTCATCCTTAAACTCTCGAGGTCTAAGTATCATCAAAGTTCAAGAACACCTCAGATTATAACAAGCAAGTATGTGTTCTGAGGTAAACGATGTTGAAGTTTAAGTGCTGGAGCATTCATGTTCGTCTGTGCACACTAAAATTGGATTTAATGAGGTTATTCATCCACTTTTGTTAGGTTGTTCATTATGTGTCCAAGTTTACACCTAACGTGGTCGAAATAGAACAAGGAGAGCAATAAACAGAAATCTTATTTGAGTCCTCATTTATTGAGCATTTGCGACTTATTGTCATTGACAATAAAGTTGGAAATTCATGAAATCATTAGTTTTCTTATGAATTAGTGACTAAATTGTGAAATCTTATTCCGAAGTTCAGTATTTGTCATCGGTATGCCAGCCACGACACTATTCACATGATATTGTAGACTAGTTATATTATGAGGGAATAGAGTACAAATATTCTTTAATTATGAAATAATGTAGAACAAATAGTCGGGAACCTTCGATACTATACGTTTAGAGTGACATCAATGTTTGACAGTGCTTTATGATCGAAACGATATACTAGATAGCGAAGTGTCGTGGAAGCGTAGCTGCATTATTAAATTAAATAAACCCATCCTAACCTTGCATAACTGACCACTAGTAGTCGGATGGTTAACCGTTTACCATGTGTACCGTGTTGTAAATTTGAGGATAAATACATAGTCCTTTATTCCTGTTCTGTGTTCATAAACACGCCTATTAAACTATTTGCGTATTTCACGTTTGCTTTATTTTTATTCCCTTATTTTCTTCCTTGCCTTCTTAAAAAGCACTATTCAATATTCTTCTGAACCACACAAAATCTGATTTATTATCATACTATTATTATTATTCTCTTTTTCAAATACGGCAAATATAATACTAACATTATTGAAACTTGTGTATTACTGCATTTTTGAAGAAATCCGAAATAGTTTCTTCACAGAGCTTATGTACTCATAAGATTTTTGTCGATAATAACAATAATAATAAATATATAATGGTCTATAGGGCCAGTCAAATGTCACTGTGCCCTAGCTTAACATCCGGCAACTGAGTTACCGAATGTTCAGCAGTTTGTAGATTTGTGATCTACTTCGTTATTAGTACCGCTCTGATAATAGGCCTAGTCCCACGATTATAGATAGGTCATGATATGACTCTCTAATCTATAAGATCTTACGTGGAAGTCACATAATTGTGAGATGGTGGAGAAGATTTGTAGCTCAGGTGGATGATTTTGGTGGAGTTTTGTTCTCTGAGCTGGATGAATTGGTCAAAACTCCACCAAAATCACATAAATTCCTACACTGAATCATCCTATCGTAACAATATGATACGTTTGAGGGGGAAGTTAGACCCCCAGAACTCAGTTGGTAAGTGCCCTAGTTCTGTAATTTTATTTTGGAAATTTGAATTTCCTTGTTTTAGCGTCAAAAGCGCTCCTTTCACCTTCACGTCGTATTTCCCACTTGGGAGAATCATTAACACTATTGGTCCATTGTGTATTTTAGTATGCTGTTTTTGCAACACTTCCCAAGGACAGTTTTATGCTGTATATATACGTTTGATTTGTGTCTGTTATCATTCACTCGTGCTTCTGGCTTACGGAATATACTTTCCCGTTCCAAGTTTCGACTTTTCACTTTAGTTAGCTGGTCTGGGACACACCAGAATATCTGGCTTATTGGTCTTCGGTCACAAGTCTTTGTTCCGTTCGCATACTAAGTGAACTCATAACCGCTTCAATCTAGCAACGCAGTACTTCTGAAGAACGCGTTTCGTCTGAAGGTAGGACAATGTATTTTATGTGAACAAAGACAAGTTATACAGAATGCCCATGTCTGCGAGGATGAACCATGTCATCTAAGCTAATTCATCAATTCTTCCCGCTCTTTCTATTGTTGATCTTCTCTCGTGTTGATCGTTCAATATGCATCTTTCCAGTTATCTCATGTTCAGCTTTGGGGACTGTGTAGTTGTGATCAATACCACTATAAGTTCACGAATCCTCTTCAGGATCGGGGACAACCTAAGCGCAATAGTTAATCTTATGCTATGGACTGGCCAATGGTATGGTGGCCGTACCGTCATCTCTGTACCCATTCTTACTAAGATATTTCCGTAATAACATCCTTTGTGTTATACGGTCTTCAAAGCAGCCATACGACGAAGGGGTAATCCGCGTTAGGGGCTGACCACGAAATGGGACTTTGGAGTTAGCTGGTTTGAGTGGACCCTCAATCGCTAGACATAGATCATCTACGTTGGTGGTTCACAGATCCAACTGAATGTAGTATTCAGCTTGTTGCTTTTGAACCGGCTTTAAAAAGGAAGAGGTACTTTAAATGATGAAATCTTTGGACATTTACTGAATTTATGACTTCAGGTCGATAACTTAAGATCTTTTTAACCCTTCCCCTTAGATTTTTAACCATCACGCTTTTTTCTGATCCTTTAACTCCATTAGCTCTGGCTCTGGTTTCACTTCGTTTATAAGGTTGCAGAATCTTATTTTGTACATCAAAAATATTCGCCATTTTTACTAAGCTTCCTACATTCACTTGCATCTTGTAATAACGTGCAATAACAAATTGTATTCGAATGTAGTTTTTCAAGTGTCTTCATTCCTACGATTATTAGTAGTCAAACTGATGTGCTAATTGCTATGTTTGATGGGATTACGAGTTCACCTAGTCTGCGAACGGAACAAGACTTTGTGACCACGTACCAATAGGCTAGCCATTCTGATGCGTCCCAGACCCCATAACTAAAGAGAGAAGTCCAAGTTCGAACCGGGAAGTAAATTCCGCAAGCAGCCAGAAGCATGAGCAATAACAACAGGAACAACAGGTGTCAGAGACGAAACATTTGTCACACTCTGAATGTCTGTAGAATCAGAAGTGGCAGAACCGATGTGATCTGGTGCAACAAATGACAAGCTGTGATACTGTCTATAGTTGTCACATGATACCTATCTTACGAACTGTTACATTATTGTTGTGTTATAAGATCTTGTAGTGGCATTGAACCATAACCACACAATCCTCAAAGCTGAACATGAGACAACTCGGAAAATAGATAATCAATATTTAACACGGAGAAATACCTAACGATGGAGAAGGCGCGAACAATTTATTGAATGAATTAGAGTTGATCGAACGGCCTGGCTCGGCCAGGCAGGCGTAGTCCCTGCTGAATGTTATCTTATATCTTCTATTCATATTAAATATATTGTTCTTTCTCTAGCCTAACCTTGTTCTACATCATGTATTGGTAATTGATACGATACAGTGAGTTGGCGTAGTCGATGGTGTGACTTCCACGTAAGATCTTATAGATTAGGCAGTTATATCATGACAAATCTACAAATTTAGGATTAGGTCTATTATTAATGTTATAGTAG